CATCCGAATTTTGTTTCTTTGTTTTATCGAAGTTTTGGGACGGAGCATTCGTGTTACTTTTCTTTTCTTTCGGGATTTCCCCAGGAGTTTTGAGGATTTTCTTTCACTTGAGTCTCTTTCGTTGATTTTCTCGAGTTTTTCCGCTTTTGCTCGGATTTCCTGGACGACGTTTTCTTCCAAATTTTGCTTTTTGAGATACATTTAGGCTTGCTACACTTAAGGAACATCGGATCTCACGGGCGCGTACAGGTTTGCTTTACATTTTACAGCACTCAATTTTCCTACGTCTACCTGTGGTTGCTCTTCCTGCATAACATGTTATAATTTTCCTGTTTCTACCTGCTACCGTAGTGTCAAGCATGTTACACTTGTCATGTTTCTACCTGCTATTGTCTTTCATGTATAGCCTGTCATACTGCTTCCCTAGCATGCTACGTTCTTATTTAGACATGTTATATTGTCTTTTCTATTTACTATACAGTGCATTGTTACTTTTCTCTCACACTGCATGCTTAGTAGCTTTGATACACTATGTCTTAGTTTAGGATAACCTAGTGGTTAGGAGCATGTTCAAAACTAAAACTAAACCAGGAGGTGCTACTACGAGAGGCTCGGAGCAAACATCGTGGGCAGCGCGGCAAGGGATAACTTCAAGATGAATCTGCAGCAGCAAAACACATTCACATCACCTAACACTTTCTTTAGTTTAAACAACCCATAGGATCACTCTTTAGGCTTTTTGTACAACTCTGTTGTACAATTATAAGTCCTAACGTTTTAGGATTCCGAGGTTACCGTACGGTACGGTGTAAATCCTTCTGTCTTTTAGGCTATTTGCACAGTCCGATGTTGTGCAAACATAAGTCCTAAATCTTAAATAATTTGCAGGATTGAAATATCAAATAATCATCACTTCAAAGACATAAAGCCAAACAATAGGATAGTTGGGAGGTCACTGGGGTTTCTCCTAGATCTGTGATATCCCCTACTTTTCTTTCATTTGAATTCTTAAAATAATTGTTCCTATTTTGAGTCATTCTCATTTGATTTTCCCATGTCCAATCGTGAAAACCTAAACTTTGAAATCTTGAAAGCAAAACCACCTGATCTTAATCGAGAGTTTTCTTAAGTGATTTCGATCATTTAAGATGTAATTAACTATAGGGCTTGCCTCTATAGGGAACCAAGAACCCAGATAAAATAAACCCTATCTAATTTTTATGTTAGATAGGGGAACTTGTTGGCCTTTTTATAAAAATATTTCGCAGACCAAACGGATGTCACAAATTGTTTAGTCTAGATGATTAAATCCCTATTACAAAGTAATATATTTATTCTTCGGGATAAGTGTATTGTTTGTAGTATTGTGTTAAATCATCTAAGCTATTTAAAATGTGAGACTCGTTTGGTCTCACTTATTTTAAAAATTAAAAAACGTTACTTCTTTAAAAAAGTTATATTTATATTTAAATTATTTTCAAAATCACAAAATCATCACCGTTTCCAAACTACGAAAGTGAAGTTGAACAATAAAACGACCGACAAGATGTTATGGCTGAAGAGAATTATTCAAGAGCTTTGGATTCCGTTATACATGCCAATAAAGTTGTACTGTGACAATAAAATTGTTATAAGCATTGCAGAAAATCTAGTACAACATGATTGCACAAAACATGTGGAGATTGATAAACACTTCATAAAAGAACACTTCATAAAAGAGAAACACTTCATAAAAGAGAAGATTGATTGTGAAGCTATTTGCACGCCTATCATTCCTACACCACAACAAATACCAAATATCTTCACCAAATGACTTTTCAGGCCTAGTTTTGAGTATCTTGAAAACAAGTTGGGCATGATAAATATTTATGCTCCAACTTGGGGGGGTGTCGGAATTTTAGGTTTTTCCCTTTCCGTATCTTGTATCTTTATTATTTTTTTTTATTTTTAGAATTAGCTATTATTGGTGAAACTTGCAATGCTTTATGGAGCATAATGTAGGACCTTAAAAGAGAAGCGTAAAATAAATTTAAGTGTTGTTGAGATGAGAATGCTAAGGTGGATGAGTGGCTTAACAATTAGAGGCAAAATATGAAACAAATCTATTACCGAAAGGGTTGGTGTCGCTCCATTTTCATACAAAACTAGAGAGAGTCGTCTTAGATGGTTTTACATTAAACGTCGACCATCTGATGATCCCGTTAGGAGAGTAAATGTTCTAAATTCAACTTATGATAAGAAAGGCAGAGGTAGAGCTAAAAAGACTAGGGCATATTGTATAAAAAATGATCTTAATCTATTAGAATTAAATGAAAATATGACACTCAATAGAACACAATAGAGAAAAAGGATTCATGTATCTAACCCCACTTACTGTGATAAACGCTTATTATTATTGTTGTTGTTGATGTTGTAGAATTAGCTATTATTGGTAATTTTCTTTTTTTTTTCTAGCATGAGTATTTTGCGACTTTTCAAAAGTGATGGTCTTCCCTTACTATTTATCTTGTAACTGAATCTTAGAAAATTGAAGAGGAATATTCTTCCCCTAGTAAAAATTACAGTTAGCATTCTTGATTTTGTTCAAATTTTACACAACAAAATTTAACTTGTTGAAATAAATTGCAAATGTTCATTAATTTTATATGATTCTAATAATAGAATTTTTTTCAAATTTTTTTATCTTTATAATTAATTGAGTGCTAACTTGTATATTTATTGGTTTTCACTTGAAGAAAGCAATATTTTGCCTACTTAATGGTCTTTTGATTTATGAAACTTAAGTCTTGATGTCTCATTGGACGAAACGATCAACACACAAAATAAAACATCTCAGAATATCTTATTTGCACAGAAAGAATGTTCTTTCAACACCAATTTCACCAAATGAACCACCTTGAGAATTCTAAAATGAGCAAATGAATCAGGTTAAAGCACAAATATTTGCAGAATAATAGAGCAAATATTCACTTGTGTACGAATCACAATGGCATTGCCAAATAAACTTTCAATAAACTTACTTGAATATGGGCCATAAACTGAGCAATACAAGGTTTCAAAGTCCAACACAGTTAAACATCCAGATTTGGTAACGGACGCCACATAGATGCCCTACAGAGTACAAATATCATACAATTGAAACTAGCATTTACCATTAAAACTTACAAACTTCAGTTAGATGGCTCAAACTTGAAAAGAAAAGTAGTAATATATCACTAAAAAAAAATCAACCATCCTTTCTTTAGAAAATAGTAGAAAAGCGTCAAGAATTCAAGGAAAGCACAAGGAGGAAAAAACATTAAAACAGTCATTCCTGGCTTTTCATAGCTTGTAGGATCATACTTTCTTGAGCATTGTTTTACTGAAAAGCAGATTGATAACAAAGTTAAACCAAATAATAATAGACAAACAAATATTATTCTTGATGAAGCCAATAAGCGGTTACAATTGACAAATTGAAAAGGGAAAAAACAGCAACAAAAACAACACTCACACAATTAGAGTTGTAAGCCAATGGTGAAAGCGAGCGGTAATGCGTGATGGAAGGGCAATGACTGGCTGCTGTTGGAGGGCGGTAGGTTGGAAGAGGGGCTGCGGTTGGATGGAAGTAGGCGGGGACAATGGGAGAAGGTGGTTGTTGTAGGAAGGATTGAAGGTGGTTATGGTAGGGTGTGGCCGTCATGAGAAAGAGGGGAAGAGGTGGTTTGTTGCAGGTTAAGTGCAGCTGGGAGGTGGTTGGCTGAGGGAGGGAAGAGTGGTAGGCTAAGGGGATTGATGAGGGGGAAGAACGACCACTGGGGATGGAAAGGTGGAGATGCACGGCCGGAATGTCGGAAACGCGGCAGCAAATGTAAGGCGGGCGTCTTGTGGCTAGAATTACAGGAAGACAGCAGGAGTGTTGTTCGGTGGTTCCTGCAACAAGGAAAGGTGGCGACGGCGACGTAGGGAGAGTTGAATAGGAAGGAGTAGTCGAAGATAAATACGCGCTCGAGAACGAGATACAGTCAAAGCACCACTCAATTTTTTGGAGCGGATCACCACCTCAAAAAGAGTTACAGTCAGAGCACAACTCGCTCTTGGATACAGCACTAGAAAAAAAAAATAGGGAATGACAACGACTGTCCTAAGAAACACAATCAAAAACTGACATAGAACACAAAAACAAAATAGTTATAGACCTAGGGTAAGTAAGAAGTGCCCCCATAGGGTGGGCGACAACCACAAGTAAACCGAAAGGTCAGTTGACCATTGAATCGTCTTTACACAGTCTCTTATCAACCAAACGCCAGTGTCACAACTCGCAGGGACGCCCACATCAATCTCCCGAGATTGTTGGAGCTTCGACCTCATCCATCTAAGTTTATGTTTCATCGTAGTATGGAGTCAAATCAGACAGGTTGAAGATAACAGAAATATTGTAATCCCCCGGCAATTCAATTCTATGAGCAATGTCATTTCAAAGCACATCCTGATAGAATAGGTATTCGTCCTCTTTTGATACAACCAAAAGTAGAATTACACGTGGATGGGTATCCTCACGAACCAAACTTCGAGCCATTGAATATATGATTGGCTTCTTCCACTCTTTGTACTCGTCTGAGTATATCTGATTAACAAGTATGAAAGGTGAATTCAACTCTAGGGCAAAATCTATGACGAGTTGGGCAACTCTCAATAGTAATCACTCAAGAGAGACATCTTCTCTGATAGGAATTGAATCCCATTGCTGATTTTTTTCCCACCAAACTCCTATGATAATTTCCAAAACTATGATTCATTCATCATGTTTGATCATATGTCGGTGTGTACAAAGTTAAATTAATTTTAATACCCAAATGACTCCATATAGTCTTCCAGAAAAAGCACGCAAGAGTCTCATCTCTAACATATTGGACCTCCCTTAGTAGGGGCAACTTAGAAGATAGATTATATATTTGAAAATTATAAAATTCTCTTATTAGATATTGTCATGTGTCTGGTATCGGCTCGTTAAACTCATGGCTCTTTTAGACATCCAATGTAAGTTCTATTGATGATCCTCTCGATGCCAACAAAAAGATAATTCGAGGCACCACAATCGCATACTGTGCATAAATGCCCATTATCTCAGCTCACTACCTTCTAAACAACCAAGGTTAATTCAGCTAGAGTCTCTTTACTAGTTTCTTCCTTGTCTGTTGGAAGTTGAGAATCCTCTAAGAAATTTTTATCTTCTCATGAATCACTGTTTATTACTCCAATTACTCCATAATCAATGAAAGGGATCATTTTCTTATTTGGACAATATGATTCAATATACCCAAATTCGTAACACTTGAAACACTTCTTAGCAAGGGCAAATTTGGGAATATTAATTGGTTCCACCTATTCTTCACTCTAAACTAGTGTCTCCTCAGGAGGGATGGGCTTGGATGTTCGGGTGGATGTACTCTTGATGCTTGATCCCAGGGTTGAACTCTGTCTGTAAGATATGGCGGTCACCCAGTGATGTTTCCTCAAGAATGTTTTGTTTTTAATGAACTGGTAGGTACTGGCGCTGCATGTTTCTTTTCATCTTTAGACCAAGTAGTAATTTTACTCTTTCCTTCTCGCTAACGTGGGTGCTTCAAATTTTTCCACCAAAACAATATACCCTTCTTTAACTTCCTGGTGGCTAGATTTACTCTTTTGTACAGTGAGACATCCTGATACTCAGAGAAAATTTTCTCAGTCTGGAGCCACTCAACAAACTCGTCCGGATCCAAGTGGTCGTCAAAATATGGCAAATCCACCTTAATTTTAAATCCAGGTTTCGCTAATATTTCAGATCAAATCTTTGGGATTGTGGTTCTTCATCCCTAGAAACTACATGGTGGAAGAGGCTCAATCCATTCCTCTGATCTAGCAAGTCACTCTCGTGGCTACGGGTGACCCATTCGAATTATCTCTCCTTGAAGGTGGCAGACCTCTATTATAGTTGAAGAACTTCCAATAGAAAGTTCATGCACACCTCTTTGCGGATTTCTCATAAAAAGCATTATGGCATTTCCTCGTGATCATATCTCCGAAAATTATCTCGACGGTGGCATGGTTAGGGATGATGTAGGGTGGGGAAGAAAGTTTTTGAGTTGTTGGTTTGAATCAGTTAAGGGAAAGAATTTTGCATGGAGATAAAGTTGAGTATTGGTGGATGTTGGAAACTCTAGGAATGACTAGAGTTAAACTAGCTCTGATACTAAATGATGTTAGAGTTAACCCAAACAACAATAGGCAAACAATATTATTACTGATGAAGCTAATATGTGGTTACAATCAACATATTGAAAAGGGAAATAACAGACACAGCACTCACTCAACTAGGGTTGCAAGCAGCAGATTAAGGAAAACAGTTAAGCAAGATGGAAGTGCAATGGTTGGTTGTTGCAGAAGGGCAGTAGGTTGGAAAAGGGGTTGCGGTGGTGTGATTGCCGGAAGGGACGATGGGAGAAGGTGGATGTTTTAGGTAGGTTGGAACATGGTTGTGGTAGGGTGCGGCCGTGACAGAAGAGGTGGCTAGCTATAGTTGTGGGAATTCAACAAGGGTAAGGTATGGCTGAGAGGTGACAGGTGAGGAAGCTAAGGGTGGTCGACTAAGGGGATTGCAGGATGGGGAAGAAAGACCATTGGCAATGGGGTGGAAAAGAGATGTGCAGTCGAAATGTTGGAACCGCAACAATAGGTGTTAAGGTAGGTGACTTGCGGCTGGAATTGCAAGAAGACAGCTGAAATGTTTTCTGGCGATACCTGCAATGAGGAAAGGTAGTGGCGACAGCGAAGGGAGGGTTGTGGAAAAGTCAAAGATAAATAACCTCTCGGTAACAAGATACCGCCGGAGAAGCATTCGACCCTTGGGAGCGAATCACCACCTCGAAACAAGAAATAGTAGGAGCATCACTCGCACTTGGGTACAACCCTATAAGAGAAAACAAGAGACTCTGACAGCTTCCCTGATAGAAACACAATAAAAAATTATCCTAAACACAAAAACAAATATACTTCTAAACCTAGGGTAGCTAAGGAGTGGCCTCGATAGAATGGGCGGCAACCCCAAGTAAACTAGAAGGTCGGTTGACCCTCGAATCATCTGAACCGCGCCTAGCACGGTCTAGCGTCAAACAAACGCTCACGTCACGTCTGACAGAGAACAGACACCCGCATCATAGGCATTTACGCAAACACAAACACAAACACAAACACAAAAAAAGACGTCATCCAACATTCTAGCATATTCATTAAAATGAATAATAGACCATTAAAATCTTTGCTAATTCAAAAAGTGTCTGACTATTTAAGTCAAGGATCGTCTTCATTGATCTCTAAAAATAAATAGTGAATTTGGAAGCCTAAGTCATAAATTGGCTTTCAAATAATAATAATTCAGAAATTAAAAGAAACTATAAATATTATAGCTTTAAAAAAAATTATATTAAAATTTCCTTCATGCGACATACACTAATTGATTATAGCTAAGAAAATGGAAAAAAAAAAAGATATTTGTATGCAATTTCCAGTATGGGCAATATAATACTTAAGTATTGTCAATCCACCCATTATAAATGAATGTGAGGGAGGCTTCCTGATTTGCATGTTGGAAACAGGATATATAAACCTCGAGCCAGGCCCATGGTTATTTTAAATTTTGAGTTGCTTTAGTTATAAATAAAGTGTTAAAATAGTCTTTAGACTATTTACATACTCATTTTAGTACCATGGTCTACAAAAGTGGCAAATTAGTTCCCGAGCTTTTTAAATTGGGGCTAAAATAGTCTTTTGTGGGGACTATTTCAGCCTATATTAAAATTTTTTGGGGACTAAATTGGCACTTTTAAAGATCCGACGACTAAAATGCCCCCTAAAAATAGTCAATGGACTATTGTGACACTTTTCTCCTTTTACTTATTTTCATAGTTTTTATTTTTATTTTTATTTTTTTTGACGCATCACAGGCATTTACACAAACACAAACACAAACACAAAAAAAAGACGTCATCCAACATTCTAGCATATTCATTAAAATGAATAATAGACCATTAAAATCTTTGCTAATTCAAAAAGTGGCTGACTATTTAAGTCAAGGATCGTCTTCATTGATC